AAGTGAAGAAGAGAGTTAGGTCTATCTAGGTTTAGAAGTGACCTACAAACAGAACAGGTGACATACTGCCAAATAGTCATATAAAAGGAATGACTAACCTCCCTTTCCCAATGGATTATAGCAGGAGGGTAGGAGGCTTTCCTGAATCACTGTTTATGGACGCTCTGTGCCTGCCTGTAGGTTGATTTCTTCTTTGGGCCTTGTGTTGCAGATTGAGCATCCTTCAAAAATTGGTTAGAGAAAGGAAGTGGTGAGCTGGTAATCACTTGATGCCTCCAATATGGTGGCCATTAGTGTTTAATCCAGAGGTGCCTGGGGATGGCAGTAGTGGTGAAAGAAAAGGGCAAAAAGGAAGTCAAAGCTATAATTCCATATTCCTCCTTGACAGACAATTCCAGTCAAAATGGCAAATGAGGTCATATGAGTAGAAGATTAGAAAATTAGGTGGCCCAATTTTCAGAAGTGCTGAGTATCTGTAGCTCCCATTGACGTAAGTGGGAATTGAGTACGCTGCATCTCAAAATATCAGGCAGAGTTATTTTTGTGTGTTTTAATCCTCAATTGGCAAGGGAGATTTAGGTTAAATATTAGGACAAACTTTCTAACTACAAGGATAGTTAAGTATTAGAATAGGCTTCCAAGAGAGATTGTGGAATCCTGGTCACTGGAGGCTTTTTAAGACCAAGTTAGACAAACACCTGTCCAGGGTGGCCTGACTCTATTTGGCCCTGCCTCAGTAGATGGGGCTGGATTAGATGACCTCTCAAGGTTCCTTCCAGTCTTGCATTCTATGTTTCTAGCACCAGACACTGATAAGCTATTGTAATCAATATACAGTAATTGAGCATTCTTCTTTGGGAAGGGGGGGGAAAGCTTATAGTGCAACTGGCAGCATCTTCTGTTCTTCCACTAGTCTTAGCCCATCCTCCTCAATTTATTTTACAGTTGTATACATATGAAGACATATATATACGTTTTCATTCAGTATTAGTAATATCTTGGAAGTATGACACTAAAATACTGCTAGTCAAATTAGTCCAGTGTAGTAAGTGTGTGTGTTAAGTGGAGTGAAACTTAATACTTTGCACTTTCAGGTGGTTCACTGTATTGCAGTGCTGCACAAACATAAGTCCTACACATTCAGTTGTTGTCTTTTAAAATTGAAATGCAGTCTTACAAGTTGTAATCTTATGCTTTTGTTGATCATAATCAAAAAGTGTTTGTGTATTTCTAGAAAGAACTTTTTCTAAGGGTTCTGTTTTGCCTTGGTGTAAGTGGTAATTTTTTGAGGCCTATGTGTGCCTCAGTTTCCCCCATACTTGGCGTTGCTACCCAAGGGCAGGGGGCGGGGGAAGATTAAATTGTCTTTCAGGATTAAGTTGTGTCTCTAAGAGACACAGGTATGTGCGTCATGTCCCTGTCTGGGTGGAATGAATAGAGTCATTCAGGAACTGGCTGAAACTGATCCAGATCAACATGGGGTCCGGAGAGACAATGCAAGCTCTAATGACTCATGGAGCTGCACTCTCAGCAGGGGAGCTGAGCAGAGACCCCCCAGCGTGAGAACAAAGGACTGGGAGGGTTGAGGTGGGGGAATAAGTGTGAGCTCTGGAAGAAGCTTGGTTCTTTCACTGGGAACTGACTGAGGAGGAGGCAGAGAGAGACAGAGCCTGAAAATGGAGTTCACTACAGCTTGGCTGGTGAATTGCACTGGGCTGACCAGAATGGACTGTGCTTTAACCTTTATTTCTCTATGCTAACTTATGGACTTCCAGTGCTGCGCTCCAGTCAACTAATAAACCCTACTGTTTTGAAATTGCTGCTTGAGTGTCACTGCAAATACTGGCTGGAGTGCATTAGCCCTTGAAGAGTGTACAGGTATCTACTAGGAATCTGCAAAAAGAAGAACAGGAGGACTTGTGGCACCTTAGAGACTAACAAATTTATTAGAGCATTTGTTAGTCTCTA